TAGAGCTGCTTTAAAAAATGCTTCAGTGGCATAGCTTGTGTTTAGTTCTTATGCTTCTCCCAGGACTGTGGCAAGACACAGTTGTTCAGATTACCATGGGGTGATATGGAGGACTCCCATTGATTTCCACAGGGATCCCTGTTTAGAGAGCAAAGGACCATGCAATGCAGTTCACATTGATTTTATAAATCCTGTTCCTGCAAAAATCATAGCAAGGGAGATGTCTAAAGGGCAAATAAAGGAAACACAGAAGAAAGGGCTAGGAGTGGCATGGAAGCTAGAAGCTCGTTGCTAGCTGATCTGCTTGCAGTCACTTGATGATTCTCACTAATTCTGTCCCTGCAGTTTAAAGAATGGAATGACTGTGTATCTCCAGGATAGTGTCTTAAAAAATGCATGCCCCTGGCACAGGGTTAGTTTCCAGCAGTGCTGGAGTTAATAAGAAATGGAGCTTCACTGCTATTTGAGGCAGATTATTATAGTCTCCAGCACACCTTGTGGGCAGAAGACAGTGCGGAGGTGGCTAATCTGTTGCTACATCTGCATGAAATGAGAGCCACTACTTGGTAAATGAGACTAGCAGGATGGGGAAAGAGTTGGAAGAACAGAAGCTTCATGTTCCCCTCTTAGGGCAGCCACCCCCTCTATATGCAGCTTGGTTTGCACTTTGCTCTGAGCAGCAGAGATGCCCTTCCTGATACCCCCTTGGTCTACAACTTGGATCAAGGTTTGGGGTGGGAAAGTATAGGAGTGGCAAGGAGCTGGCTGGAGGATGCAAGAGTCCTTTAGGAACCATGCTTCCACTGTGATACAGGAGGGTTTCTGGAGTAACGTGGATGTTATAAAAACCCAGAGGTCCCTAGAGCCTTCCCTGGCATTTCCAACAGACTTCTGCTAGGTTCCCAGGCTCAGCTCGCACACTGTATGGAGCCTGCCCATTGCAAGCAGCAGTGCTGCAATCCTCTGGTTTTCAAAAGGGAGCAGTGTTCTAGGGAGAAGCACTCCTGTTTATAGTCATTGTCTCTGTGGGGTGAGAAGCATCAGTCCCAGGGTGCTTCTGCCTGCCTCTCTCATTTCCTCTTTTCCTATTGCAGTCCCCAGTGTGAACAGCTCCCTTCCCTGCCTCTGCTAGAAGGGGACTGATGACCGAGGCTCTGTGTTTTGCCATCATGATCCTGCTCCAAACTTCCTGCGAAGTATCGCAGTAAATATTTGTTTTAGCTTTAAGACCCAATGAATTTTCAATCCCCTAATCCTTGTTTTTTCCCCATTTTTGTCAAGAACAGCCATGGATGAGGAGGATAACAGAGTTCCCACTGATGTCTCACCAATGCTACTAGCAAAGCTATTCTGTGGCTGGCTGATTCTGACTTGGAGACTTTGGTGATGCTGGTTCTGCTGCTGTATTTTTTAGTACCAGTTGTTATTTGTGTTGCAGTAATGCTTAGATCTTATTGTGCTAGATGCTATACAAACTCATTATCTTGTGAAATTTCAAAGGTCCAATATAATCTACCAGGGAATTAAGCTAGACAAGAGTCCCCCCTCCCTCCACCCTCTCCCATTTAGTTTACAGGAAAAACCCTTTGCCAATGAAGATTCATCTACTTTGCTTCCAGGTTGGCTCCTCGGGGTATGATGCACTGAAATGTTCCTGAGCTGTTTGTGTTGTCAGGGAAAGGACAGAGACCCCACAGGGTACAGAAGATGTCTCAGAGTACTGGACTTGTTTTCAGTTTAGGTCTCGCTTTTGTTTAGCAACTCACAAAAAAATAAGCTCCGCTATAGCTACAGGGTCCCATAGTCTCAAGCAAAATAAGTCTGGAAAGGGTAGACTGAGAATCCAGAGCTCTGGGGGTGGGATCTATGTCCTCACATTAGTGTTTATTTATTCACCCACTTTGAAAAGGGAATTTGTTTCTTTTTAATTGTTTTTCTTGTTACAGACAATGAAATATCTTACATTTTTAAATAATAATCTTATCATATGAGTAACAGAGAGATTAGAGTTTTATGTCTGGGTGGGTATATTTGCCCAGCAGTTGTACAAGGCTGGAATAACTGAACACACATGTGATTCGCTTTAACTGTACATCAGGCCTCCCTTGAGCTGGGCTGGTCTTTTGTTATATCCAAACCAGCCCTCCACTCAGACAGCTCACCCACCCCTCCACCCCACTGCAAACTGGCTTTCCTCTCAGTAGTTCACTCAGTCAGAACTAGCACTTCTTTCTGTCCAGGCTGATCCCAATCCTTATTAAAGGTTTGCTTCAGATAAGAGCATTGAGAAAACATGATCTCCTTTCCCCTTTCTTGCTCCTACTCAATGACACAGTCCCCTTTGCAACGAGACCTGCTCTTCAGATCTTGTTCTATTCCCTGTGCCCGGTCCAAAAGCCAGCCACCACCCTGAGATGACCTCTCAATCTCTCTGTCTGTGCCTCTCCCTCCCTCCTTATGCGTAGATCTGCCTCTGATCCCTAGCTATTATAAAAACCTTGCTGCCCCCGTCTAACCTCACTGCAGTGAACCAGACTGGGGAACTCAATGTCAAAAGGTAAAACATTGCTTTCTGGGATATCTCCAGGAGACACATTTATAGGGCAGACACGTGACAGTGATTCTCATCAGGATGGAGACCAGTCCCACAAATAACTTTCTTACAGGGCCAGATTCACCCCAGGGTCTCTGCAAGGACAGACGCTGGCACAGGCTCGAAGGCCAGGCAGCCAGAGGCAGCTGGAAATGAGCAGCAGTGAAAGGATGATCAAGGCTGGAGCCATAGGACATGGTCACTGACTCCCTGGGTTTTTACAAGGCCACAGCTGAACCCAAAGCTGCCTCACAGCAGACATATACCTGGCCCCTTTATTTTTTGCTTACCCATATTTATAGCTCTTCAGACAGAGTGAATGACAGATAGGGATATTAAGATTCTGATGCAATCTGTTTACTCCAAAATGTTACAGGGACAAATAACTAGATGGGAGGCATGGGCTGGAGCACTCGCAGCACATGGGAATTGTGGCCACCTCCACTCCCTTGATCTCTGGAGATGAAGGACATAAGCCATTTGGTTTGCAGTCTGAATCCTCTTCTGACATAGATCCATATTATTAATGCTCATACTTTTATCTAATTCCCATCTCTACCCACAGAGAATGTGAAACGCTGGCTTGTCTTGGGCCTATTAATAATTGATTTGTGGAAGGGAGTGTTGACATATGCGGCACTAAGAAGAAAAGTCAGCATTTTGAGGAAAAAAGAAAAAAGGGAAAAAACTGTTGCTTTCTCTTGAGCTAAGAGTTATTTAATATACTGGCTTTGAAACTTCTATGAGCCGCTAACAAAAAAGTAGGTCAGAAGTTCTTGGCTTCAAAAGGAAGCTTCTTGGTATGATACATGATGTGTGTAATTATGCTGAGGTTTGACTGAGTTGCAAAGCGATTCATCTTGAAAGGCAGAGGGGATGTTGCTTGCTTTTTAAGTGGGAGATTTACAGTCCTAACCACAAAAGACCAGGCAACAGGTGCTACCCAGACAGTGGCAGTGCAAACTTCCCTCCTAGCTTCTCCAGCTGACAGGCCGCAGGGGGCCACCTCCTGGTAAAGTCTAGTACTTTTGATCCTTGCTGCTCTATATGGTCCTCTCACTTCCAGACCTCCCTGGTGAGATTGGCAACAAATGAGAAGAAATTAATGCCCACTGTAATAGTGGTTTTCATGGTATGGACCCCGGCTGAAAAAAATCAGGCTGAACCCACTAGTTCATTTCACATGAAAAAAAATCACCATTCCTTTGCTTGGTTCAAAGAAGAGCTGAAGGACACTTGCAATTAAAATAGCTGCTAATATACTGCTAATGGCTTGGGGTCTACTTTTTGTATCCATCTTACTTCACCGTAATAAGGATCAGGTCCTGGGTCAGTTAATTTTCAGTCCAGCAGAATGAGATGCAGTATCTGTTGCATATGGTAATGTGGCATCTCTCCCTTGACAGAGTCTCTTAGTGGCCTGTTTGCTAATGTGTCTGACAGCAGAGTGGAAGCGTGCTGGTAATGTTACAGTGATACAAACATAGGTCTGAAGACCTTTCAGGTATTCAGTGTAATAACCAGCTTCAAAATATGAGGTGGAATGGAATATTTATTGACTCTGCCTTTATTGCTTGTGAAGGAATTGCATAACTCTGGAGACCAAGGGCAGAGAGCATTTTAACTGCCTGCGCCAATCTGAGTTGGTTGGGACAGTTAACTCCATGGTTCAAATCAGTGACAAACTAGTTTGTACCACCAGGAAGAGAGGTTTTCTGAGTTGATGAGATTCTGTTTGTAAAAGGAGTTTGGGTCAACGGTTCCACTGAGAAAAGATGCTCGAGGTCTTTGTCAAGTTGCACATCTCTCGTGCCTGAATTAACCAGGAGAGAGCACAGGAAAAGCTCTTGGAGTCTCATCAGAGTCCTGTGTCTGTGCAGGCCATTGCACTATAACAGAAACTGTGCGGGGACTTGAAATGGGCTGTCGGTGCTACCCTTTATATATCTGAACAATTAATGGTGATAACCAATGTCTTAACTAGAGCTGGTTAAAAAAGTAATAATGTGACATTTTATTGACAGAATGTGCTTCTATTGAAGCTGAAAGAGTCCATGGGAACGCGTTGATTTAAATGAAATTTCTATGATGCAGTGGAGGCATCCCAACCTAGATTTAATCTAGTTAGCTTGGGTATCAGTGGCCAACTGTATAAGCTCAACCAAGAGACTAGGCACTCAGCTGAATGGCTACCCACGATGACCTCTGAGCCATCCCACTTTCACTTCCTTAGATAACCATGCTCACAAGAGTAGTGTTACCTTGGGTGTGTCTACATGTGCTTCAGTCACACCGTTGATTGAAATGCAGGTGTTGGGGAAAAAATTATTCCAATAAGCTTGAAATGAAATGTTTCAATTTCTTCATTTAAAAAAGTCATTTTTCTTTTATATTCTGGTTTATAATATGCAATTTTAAAAAGTCAAAATCAGCATGAGGTCTTTCAGTTCTATCAAAACAGAACATTTTGATTGACCGAGAATGATTTTTGCCCAGAAACACTGGCTTGCAGGAAATTTCAATATGTCAGACTTTCTCAGGGAACAGAAGTTTTGAATTTTGACTAGTGTTGGGATAAGTTGAAGCACAGACTTTATCAGGTACACCTTGCAGGAGGCAGTGGGACAGGAATCAGAGAGGCACTCTAGAAATGGAGGGGGGCTTAACTTGTGTCACACCTGCCAAAAAGGTTGGCCACCAATGGACTAGTTGTAGCCTCAGGCAGGGGATGAGTTTGTTGTAAATAAGGACCTGAGCTGTTGTCTGGAAACACTTAGCCTACTTCATTGCTCACAAGAGACCTATATATAATTACAGAGTTATTATATGGAGTGACCCTCAGTAATATTGTCTAAGCTGCTTATTCCAACAGAAATACAGATGTATACGTTAATCTTCTTATACTTGCTGAGAACCCTAAACAAGTCCCAGGACCACGATGGGGTCACTTATCTCTGGCTATAATCAGGTTACTATACAAGGGGGTATTTGTATTATACAATGCACCTCGTAGATCTGACATTGCTTAAGTTGTTTTTAATCATTGCTTTCTTGAATAAATAGAAAATGGAAAGTCCTATTAGTTGCTTGGTGTGAGTGAGTATCTCCCCTTTAGCAGGGAGTGGAACTGAGAAATCTTTCAGGTGCTGCTTGTTATGTTTTCACTCGCATGCTCGGGGTTAAACCGACTGATCACCAGATATGAGGTCAGGAAGGAATTTCCCTCCAGGTCAGTCCAGCAAGGACTTTTTTTCTCTCTCTCTTTCTCTGTAACACAGGTCACAGTTCACTTCCCATGGGCATCTGAGCATATTAACTTAACCAAGTCCATGACACTGCAGGGACACACGGCATTAATGAAAATAAAGGCACGTGTTCTTCTAGGCCCAGATTCCGTCAGGCACTTGAATCCATAAGCGGTCCTGTCACCGACTCGCTTGCTCAAAAAATGAGGCCCATAATCCTGTGCCTTGTTCAGCTGGGGTGTAAATATGCATGCTGTCTTCACTAATGTTTTATAGTAGGAAGTGTGCTGAGTAGTACTGGAAGGGCATGCTATTAAATAATGAGGTCCCTATGGCTTATAATTACGTTGGTTAAAAAATGTGAGGGGCTGTCACTGAATATTGTGTCTTTTGATGAAAGATCAGGGCCAATACATTTTTGGCTGCAAGCTGGATGGAAAAACCACCAGGCCTCAGGAGGGTTGTAGATCAAGTGCCTAAGGCCTCCCTTCTCCATGAATCAAGCTCCTTGACCAGATTACCTCTTCTTTAATTAACCATGGTTTCTTGTCGTGCTGAACTACCAGGGTTACATCTCATGAGATGTATTCTGGGTAGGAGTCCAGGCACTGGAGGAAAACAGAAACACAGTTAATTCCAAGGAGGTACAATACAGCATTTCTGAATCAAAACTTTGTCTTTCAGCCAAAAGGTTCCTTTATTTGGCTTTACTTGTTTTTTAGTGAAAAGCCAACATTTTCTGCAGAAAATAGAACATGTTTTACAAAAGAAAACAATATTAGATTTGTTTGGTCAGAAACCCTTTGTGTTTGGCATTTTTTGGCAAGTTTTTATCAGTTCAAGTGATGACAGCGGTTGTCACATTGTGGTCCTTGGAGAGTCTTTCCTGCTTGCCTGTAGAGTAAACCATTCTGAGGATGCTCACTGGGGAAGTAGGAGCTCAGAAGATGGTTAAGTTGTGAGGAGGTCTGGGATTTTCTCTTTCAAAGTCACCCACAGGGTGAAGAACTGGAGATGAACGAAGAAGAGATGACAATGTTATAATAAATTGTCATACTTTCAGGGTTATGCTCACATGCTACCTCTGACCTGGATAACAGGCTTTGCAAAGAGTTGTACTGTCAAGTATGCATGTAGCAGTGCCATTTCTGTCTGTGGCTGTCCAGTGAAAAAGATCAGTGGCCTTCATGGGACCACAGAATGGTGAGACCAGTCAGAGACTGTCACGTGGGAAGTAGATAGTGAAGTTCAGAAGGAACCTCAGAAGAATCCCTCTCTTAAAGCAGAACTCTTTAGAAGTGCAAGACATACTATGAGTTTCTGATTAGATTGTTTTAAAATGTCTCTTAAAATTGGTTTGGGCTCAGTACCTGCTGCTCACACTTAAAACATGATCAAGACTGCATAGGTGGTGCAGTCACCTACCCTGGGGGTTTTCAAAAGGAGACTGGACAGTCATCTCGCTGGCATCACCTACCCCCACTTGTCTTCCTGCCTAGAGCAGTGAGGGGGCTGAACCCGATGATCTGCAAGGTCCCTTCCAGCCCCTAACAGTCTATGCATCTATGAATAAGATCAGTCCCTAAGGTACTGTGTAAACAGCAAGGAGAATTCAGTTTGGCTGGTTGGTTTCTCCCTGTTATTCTTCTCTGTATGAGATGTTTGGTTGGTGCTCATCCTACTGCTGGTTCTGGTAAGTGGGAAATCAGCTCTCCTGAAATAATCATCAGGGATATCAAGCCCATTAGGCACATGGCTGGTGATAGTGCCTGCATGCCAGAGGCATGAGGCCAAGTATGGCTGAGAATCTCTAGTCCCCAGGAAGGCCTTATACAGGATTGCTGCAATGCTCTCATTAGGACTTGAAATGGTGTCAGACTGCAAAAATATAGAGAAATGGGGAACTCTGGGGTTCCCATGTCCACAGAGTCCCTGCTGGCCTCAGTGGGATCCCCAGGCCCAGCACTGTGTCCCTTGTGCCATGTGTGCTGAGATCAGTCGTCAGTGCATTTTCTATTAAGAGGCACCCCCATTGTAAATCCCCCATCTGCTGTGTCTGGGGGGCCCCTTTTTTTCCTGCCTCATATTATGTAAATAAGGGGTGCTCCACACACCTGGAAGACAGCACACTTGAAACGGATAAAAGGTGTGTGTGATTAGACTGTGGAGCTCATTGCCTGCAGGTGTCAAAAGAGATGAAAATGTAACAAATTTCAGAAGGTTTGAACATGAATATCCAGAGTTATAAGAGTTAATGCCAACAAAAGATTTATGGAAGGGTATAAAACCTTTGGTTCAGGGCTCATAACCCCTCTCTAATTATTAGGGGTTAGGATGAGATATTTATAGGGTGCAAATTATCCTACAGGAGTCTCTTGTGCCTTTCTCTGAAGCATCTGGCGTTAGTTGTTGAAAACCAGAGGATGGGCTAGATGGGGAGTTGCAGCCCTGGAAAAAACCAGTGGCCTGTGTTCAGCTCCTTCACAGGCATAGACTGACCTGGGCATGCAATCAAACCCTGAAGTCCTGTGAGAGGCAACCTGAAGACAGTGAGAGTTGTTGCCTTTAGGTTTGGGTGCTGTATTACATATGCATGCACAGCAGTGTTCTACCTATAGGCATGACAGCCCAGGAATACAGGCTCCAGTAGGTTATGCCACACTAGTATATGCACTCAAGCTAGTATCCTAAGCTATAGGGTGCTGCATATGTTGTCATACACACGTGCTATCTTATACTCTATAGAAGGGAGCCTACTCCTCTGAAGTTGATCTGTTGTAGATAAAATGATGATGCTGATGATGTAAAAAAAAATCCATTAAATCCTTTGCCCTTTAACCAATGACTTGAGTTACAGCCCACAGTTTTCCTGGGAGACTGATTTTCTGAGCAGTGTCAATTGTCACTTACCTAAAAGCTCATGCTGCTCTTGGTGCTTGCAGATACAGCTACTGTCATGGCAACAAGGTTATTTTTGTTTAATGGGCATCTACTTTTTCGAAAAAAAATATGGTCATAGCTGCTAAGTGAAAGTAGGGTCAAGGAAGACCAACACTTAGATTTGCTACAACTACTTACATCGAGTGATTGCAACACCGCTTACAAACATCCCTTTGAAGAAACTTAGGCTCTAAGAAGAAAAGAGACTTTCCCGTGGACAAGGTTACATGCAGAGGCAATAGCAGAGGCAGAAATAGGCCCCAGGAGTCCTAACTCCCAGTGTACATAATATTGAGGTATTGTGTTGGTGAATTAATCAAGGCAAAGCCTAACAGTAGCACACACACAAACAAACCACTAAATAGTGGTAAGCCAGTGGTAGCCTCTGAGTTATCAGTGTTCAGTATAAGAAGACATCCCATAGGGGAGACAAAGGTATGCCTCGTTTCTACCACTGCCCTAGTTCTGGGGGGGGGGCAGCTTTTAGTCCTCAACACAGTTTCTAGTAGCTTCAGGGTCTCTTTTGTCATTTTATCCCTTTTGTTGCCTTTGGTTGGTGAATGTTGATTTTCATTGGGATTAATAAAGCAAACCCTGGCAAACTAGTGCCTGTCAGAGTTTCTTTGTGCCCTATAAATGGCCTCAGAATGACCTTTGGTTTGCCAAGAACAAGTGCTGCTATAATGTCATGTCAAAGTGTAATTAAAATGTGCCAGCATCCCTTTCATTCTGAGCTGGAAGCCAGTAATATCAGTGTAAAGCCAACCCCAGAACTAATCAAACTTACATTCACCAAGCTCCCTGCATTCATCTAACCCATATTTAAATCAATTTGTAATGCTTGCTTGATCAATAACACTGTTCAATTATTTAATAGCTGTACCAGCAAGGAAACATTAATATCCCTATTATCAAAGCCAGGCTCATGAACAAGGTTCTACATCTAAAATTTCAATTTAGTTAAGTCCTTTAAAATGTCCCTGTGTTTCATCTGTCCATTTTCCATGGCAACCAGCAAGGGCCAGAGGTCAGAGAGAGATTTCATTTATCTAATATAAAATTGCATTGCCTGTCAGAAGGCTTAGAATTAGAATCTAAAGCGTTTCGCATAAAATGGGACTCAGCCGACAGGACAAAAATAACATTTTTTCATGCATGATCTACAAACTTCCTTGTACTGATTTTTTTTTTAAATCTTTTACTGGATGAATCCTCTCAGGGGATGAACCTGTTCTAGTTATATTAAATATTTAACCAAAGAGGAGAAATCCTCAATAAAAAAGACTGAGGTAAGTGACTACATGTCATTCATCCGATAATGATATATTTTCTGTATACATAAAGAGTCTCCCTGTAAAGCTCACATGCTGCACTCAACTTGGCCCCAAGCATGTTCACAGGAACCTGCTCTGAATAAGATCTATTGTTCATCAGGGCCCAGAAGTCCAAGAGCTTTGAAGGCTGATAATACTAACATAGCAGTCCGAATAATAATAACAGAGCCATCCTTAACACCATGGTGCTTTCCATCTACAAAGGAATGTACTGCACACATTATTAGCTGATAAGTCTTGCAATGCTCCAGTTACAGATAGGGATGAGGGCCCAGATTTTTAAAGGGATTTTGGTAGTTCTCCACTTAGCTCTGCGAGACCTAAATGACTTAGATGGCTATGTCCCATTTTCAAAAGTGACTCCAGCAGCCAAATGCACAAAGGCCTTAGGCACTGAGAAGTTAAGCATTACCATATCTTTGGAGTGCCTGTCCCCTGTAGCATGATCCACTGCCCTGAGTTAGGTACAATGCTCCCCACACAGTGCATGAAGGTGCCCAGAATGGGATCCACAACAAGAGTACACTGAGCAAAGAGCTGCTTCATCTGGTCAATAAGGAATGGCTGATGGGAGCAGATGTGCATGAAATCCTGTGCCTTTCCAGAGCTTGTACCCCTTGCCCAGAGCTACAGGTAGGGAACCCGGAGACCTCTCCTAGGATCCTGGTTTGAAAAATGTTCTTATAAACCATGGCCATTGGAGGAGGTGGTGTAACTCTCCAACCCTTTTATTTGACAGCTCAATGGTTAGACTAGGGGAAACTTTGGTCCAATTCTCCCCTCAGGCAGAGGAGGAAACTGAACCTATCTTCCACATTTGGGATGAGCGTGCTATACTTCCAGAGCTACTGGATAAAAGGATGCACAACCACCCCCTGGGTATCAGCTGCTGCATCTTGTGAAGAGCCTGATCCCATGGGCGTTTGGTGAGCGCCTCCCAGATCAACCCCCTCTTCAGCAGGATAGGTTTAGATATAACCTGCTCAGCCCTGTGAGGGCTTGAGTCCCCTGTGGTTCGATGTTAGGATACTTATCTGCCACACAGGAGACATGGGTTTGATTCCTGGATACTTATACAACTATAGCCATGGCGGCACCAAGTGTGTGCACTTAGTCGGGCCTTTGGATTCTGTTTCAGTGCCCTAAAGCAGGGATGCAAGTTTTGGGCAGCCTCCACTCCTTCAAACTCCTGCCCTAGGCATGTGTTGAAGATCTGGGTGACCCATGGTACATACACCATGATCCAAAACCACCTGTGTAAACTGGGACAGGTGCAAAAGCAGAAGTTAAATGCATGGGAAACTTTGATATTAAAAAAGTTTCATGACTTCATGAGTCTCCAGGATTAAGCAGCAGCTGAACACTGCGTGTTGAGGATCTAAATCTTACTGCCTTTCAGTCTGACATATGCTGCTACGGTGCATCCAAACAAGTACACACATGCGATTTGCAGCACTGCAGACCTGTCTGTGGCACCATACACGCATGTATTTGCTGCACTGTAAATTTGCAGCGCAGCAAGGGGGTTTGACAGGGAGATCCCAGTGTCAAAAAAACCCATGGTGGAAAAAAGCAGGGTGGTACACATGACGGCAGCATGCACCACCTGAAACTGGAGTCTGGCCAGCCAAAGCCACACTCCAGCTGCTGGCCAGGCTCCGTGCACCTGGATTGCCACCGCTGGAACCTGAGGAGGCCCCCCAGAACCCCCAGTAAGATTGCTGGGGCTAGCGCAGCCTCCCCTACCCCACCCAGGGCAACTTGCCATGTGCCAGAGCATGTGTGCATGGGTGCTCCCCGGGGACAAGTAGCAGTGGTACAACTATGTGCTGCTGCTATTTGTCCCTGGGTAAACACACATACACACTCATCTGGACACATCCCTAGGTGCCTAGATCACTTTTGAAAATAAGATGTAAATAAGATTAAAATTACTTGAGCATAGGTGTTAGGGGTAGGTTTTTTCTTCCTGTTTTACAGATGGGGAAACTTAAGTCGACAGATTTGACCTTCCTGAGGAAATAAATACCTGACCAGAGCTCAGAGGTTGTCTCCTCGGCCTGTTCTCAGACTGCACCAGTCTTCCTAATGCATTTAGTACAGTCTTAAACAGAATTAGTCAAGAGCTGGCTACAGCCTTTGCCAAGAACTTTTTCCAAGTTGGAAGTTGTTTGGATTTGGGATTTCAAACTCCTCTGATTCCTGCTCATAATGAAGTCATGTTTCAGCAAGCATTTTAAAATGGAAAAAATTCATCTCAGCAGGTTCTTTTTGGGGGCTGAATTTGTTTTTTGCTACTCAGCTGTGGCAGTGAGAGGAGAGAAGAAGCAATTTCCATGCCAGTGAAATTATCATAAGTTGCAATTTATGTCCACAAAGGTCCCTTATTTACTGTAGGGTTAATGCAGAAAGAACCAGTACCTTGAAAACAAATTAATTTTGATGGCAGTGTCATAGTTTGGGGAGAGTGATCCTGTAGATACCAATGTGAAGAGTAATTTGGAAATATCTTAAGTCCTATTTTCACAACTACTGAAAGTTCCAATATTGAAACAAAAGGTACGTATTTGCATCACTAAAGGATGCTCTACATTGTTTGCTGCAATTCTTACATGAAAATGAAGGATTAAAATGAATGCCTTGTATTGCATTTTGGATGGCACATGCTCCAGGAAAAATGAGTGCAAATTCAGGAATAACAACACTTACTGTCTTTTCACTTAAAACCTCACAGTACTGACTATCAGGAGTTGTGGCTGGTTAGGTATTTTGTGACCCTGGTGGGTGAAGGAGCTGTGTATTTATTTTAATTTTAACACAGATTTATTACAGGGACTCTGAGTTCATGTATAAATAATTCAAGGTGACAGAAAATGAATTGCCTGTTTTCAAAATGCATTCAGAGGGACTCAGTTTCACAATCAGCTGCCTGCATGGGCTGATGGGCAAAAACCGCATTTAAGCAGAGCTCTGAGGTAGAGCTAAGCAAATAGTAGGAAACATTTGCCCATTATTGACACCGCTACAAACTTCAACTTAACTGTGCTCCTAGCCATATGCATGGCTCACTGGGGGGGATGGGGGGGTTGTAAACATCCAAACACCTGAGGAGTATTGAAAAGTGGGAAAAGAAAACTCAAATAGCCACTACCTACACACTGTAATTTGTGTATTTGAAATTAAAATATTCAGTTCATGCCATCTTGGTTGGTTACCCATTGGAAAATGGAAACTGAGCCACATGACTCATGTAACTAACCAACACAGTACAAAAACTGTTAACCGTTTCAATGTAAAGACCTAGAATTATTCCCTGCCAAAATTCCCAAATAATTCTGGGTAATGAACAAAAAGGTATCTTATGGCTTGCTCATTGGTAATTTGCAAACAGAAGAAAAGGCAGCATTTGCCAGATAAATTATTTGTTGTAAATTATTCACTCAGCTCCACTCTGAAGTCAATGGGACTGCTTGTATAAGTGAGGATTACTCATGAAGTAGAATTGAGCCCTTAATAGTACTTGGAGAATGGGAGGTTCATTAGCTGAAAGCACTGCTGGTACATCAAAAGGAAGGGGGGAGATCAATTCATAATTAGTCATTTAAATTTTATCAAGCATGAAGTACCTGATTTCAAACAAATCCAAGTAAAAGGGAAGTGCTTCTTTCTTATTAAGTCAGTCTCTCTTGGCTTTTTAAAGATTGATGAAGTAATGTCAATAAATTATGGCTCTTGGGGCTCACGCTATAAAAAAACCACATAGAAAAACAATATAATTCAGCATCAGACAAGTGAAGAATACACAGTGGAACAAAAATTAAATGCATATTCATTAAGGAGGTGTATGATGAATCTCCAGTTCACTCTAATATTGACCAGCTGTCTCTAGTTCAACCTCTCCTTCCCCTTTACACCTGCTGATACTGTATCCAACTACCATTCTAATGCTGAAGTCAGACCAGATTTGGTCACTGATAGGTTTAATTACATTGCTAAAGGAGTCCTTGTAAAACTAAGTGACCTGAATTAATTATAGCACTGTTAAATTATGTAACACATGTGTAAAGACCTGTTTGGAATTTACCTTCATTTAAATTCTAGCATGGCATTTGACTTTCCTTGAATACATTTTTCTGCTGCCACTGAAACAATTTTGCAGGGAACAGGGAAGTGTGTGATTTATGAGTCTATTTATCCAAAGCATTGTGTTGAAAAGAAGATATGGAGAAAGCAGACAGTGTTTGGTGCAATATAGTAACAGCAGGCTTACCAGTTCCATTTCCAGTGTATTATTGTTGTTGTTGTTGTTATTAAGGAAAATATCAAATTTTACTCAGAGCTGCATAAGACTTGGCCGTCAAGAACATGTCCTGGTAAGCTCATAGTCTAGAAGGCAGATGTAGAAAAGATGTGATATGCTGGAAGGCTCAGAGGAAGGTGTGAGCCCAGATCATATTTTAGCATCTTTATTTAATGTATTAGTTAACGTCTAACACAGGGGTGTCAAACTCATCTGGCCGGGGGCCGGGGGGAAGGGTGTAAGGCAGTGTATGGGCTGGAACTGGTGCCTCGAGCCCTGCAAGCAGCTGGGGGCATGGAGCAGCATGGGGTGTGCACATGGCTGGTCTTGCAGGGCACTGGGCTGGCCCCATGCATTGCCTACAGTACAGGCCCCAGAGAGGAGCTGGCAATGCTGCAGACAGCACGCATGGGGCTGGACTGGCTGCGTGTGCTGCCAGCAGCACAGGAGCCCAGCAGGGGGTATGAGCTGCACATGGTGCCCCACCAGACTGGTCATGTGTGCTGGCTCCAGCCTGGCCTGACCCAGATCAGCCCTGGTCTGGCAGGGTGCAGCATGCAGTATGTGCCCTGTGCAGCACCTGTAGCACCAGTTCCAGCCCATGCACCAGACTGGCATGTGGCAGTGTGGGGTCAGTGTGAGACACGAACCAGATCAGATGACTCCATGGGCCAGATTCAGCCTGCAGGTCTTCAGTTGGACACCCTAATGTTTTAACAAATTGCAGAAAATTAAAAGGAGGCAGGTTATTACTGTATGTCAGCTGCCTCATGGTAACTGTTAGTGTCTCTCTCCTGACTTGGTAGTAAGAGAAAGCTAAACCATGGCAGATCAGTCTTGTTTAATTCAGGACCAAGCTACTCTCATTAAGCTTTCAATTACTGTGGTGGAAGAGTAGCCACACAGTTTCCACATATTAGCTTCTCTAGGGTGAGGCTCATTCACTATAATTAGTTGGTGTGTCAATACCCATGCCCTGATTTGAGGAACTCAGATTTCAGGATGGATTTGGGTGAGGCAAGGATATAATACCTATTGCAGGTATATATTTTGACATTCACCATACTATAGCTCAGCACTTCACAATATTTAATGTAGCACCTCTGTGAGGTAGAGAAGTGCTACTATACCTATTTTATATTGGGGAAACTAAGGCACAGATGCTTGCTTTTTATATATATATTTAGGTGCTGATCCTCTCAGCATTGCAGGGCCCAAGTGAGTGAGCCCATTGATGAAAATGACTTAGGCACTTAGAAGCTTAAAGTTTATTGAAAGTTACTGTGACTTACAATGCCATGTGGAACAACACCTAAATAATCAATTTTTTTGATTTGAGATGGGAGTACTTGTGGAGTTAAATACTTATGAAAATCTTGACCAGATTAAACCACAGTGAGTGTGACAATCTTCAGGTGTGGAAATGAAGGTCGGGTGCCCAGCTCTGATGGATTTTAGAGGTGTAAGGACCTCTGTTTCCCTTATGCTGTAGCAGGGAATCTTCAGACTACTCAGGAAGTCTGTTGCATTTACTGCATCTAAACCCAGATCTCAGGAGTCCTATTCTATAAATGAAGCTACAAGGCCACCCTACTTCTCCAAGTGGATAGTGGTCATTACATGCACAAGAAAGCAGCCTGAAAGAGATGCAAGGGCAGGAGTGAGAGGAGAAAGCAAAAGAGTGCAAACCCAGAAAGGAAAAAGCAGAGAGCACTTCAACAAGCAATATGTAGCATGGGGTAGTGTTGTAGTGTCTTGTGTACAAGAATGAGAAGCTGGGTGATTCAAAGGGAGGTGTGATATGGTCTGTATGACTAATTAGGATAGTCATTACTGGTCCAACCAGAGGGGAAAGAGATTTGCATCAAAAAGGCTCAAGAGATAGTGAAGAGGAAATGACACAGATGTTTTCAAATGTATTTAAGCCATAATATCCTCCTCAGGTGTCTGACCAAAAAACTTTGCATCATTAGTGACTTCTGGGTGGCCGTGAAAAAGTCTCCAAAGGGAAGGGATAGGATGGGATTAGAGTCCCAGACCTTGAAATATGAACAATGCCACTTCCTGTACAACAAAAGTAGATACTGCATAATAACAAAGCCCTGCAAAGCTATCAATCCCTTCTCTGCCCCTTTTAGTACAGGCTGATAATCATGTAGTGATGTGGATATCAGAGAAAGGCAACAGCTTCTTTTCTCTCGTGACCCAAGTCATGAGCTGAACTCTGTTCTGCAGTGCCTAAATCCTGTTACTCAATCCGACTTGTGTTACTGTGAGCCATTTAAGCATTTGTTTCTCACACGTTTGTAATTCATAGTCTAGTTCTCATCAGCAAAGGACTGTGTTTACCTTAGAAAGTTTTGAAGCAATTCAGCTCTCAATCCAAAGCTAATGATGTTTATAGTATCTTGCATTAAGCTCGTGGTCTTTGTCTAAGGATCTCAGAGTATTTTGCAAAGATGGCACTAGCTTTGCAAGTGGCACTAGCAGCCTTTGGGAGGGGGCAGGTGCACAGCAGCAAATAGAGCCAGGAGCAGAAAGCAGAGCAGCAGATCAGGCAAGGGAAGGGGATCAGAGTGGTACTCATGGACATTGCAGAGTTAATTTTTGGCATGCCTGCCAGAAAGGTTGCCCCCACCACTGTTCTACGTTCACAGGTGAGATCATTGACAGAGGTGAAGGCAAGGTACTGAAGCATGTTTTTCAGTATAAGCCAGAGCTTACGTCCCGATTGAAATCACTGGGAATTAAGAACACTGAATCACTTTTTTTGATTTGAGATGGGAGTACTTGTGGAGTTAAAGATCATCATACGCTCTCTTGAACTGAGACCTAAATGTCTTACAGAATCATAGGACGAATCAGCAGCTGACTCTCAACAGAATCCAGGGGTGAAATCCTGTCCCTAAGAAAGCCAATGGAGATATTCCTATGGCCTTCAAAGCAGTCAAGTTTTACCCCTGCTCTCCTAATTGTTGTTGCTCTGAATCACTAGACCATGCATCTCTCCCTCATTAAATGCCTTGAAAGTAATCTTAGCTTGTCAGAAATATGGCATCTTATTTTCAGCATTTGGTACCTTCCTAGTAATGCAGCGTTAGAGTTATGTATGTAGTTTCCTGTAAGATTGCACATTAAGCATTTAGGCACTTGGAAGGAGCCATGCGTAGTTTTAGCTGAACCATTATTTAGGACGTTTCGCTTATTTTCTCCCAGAGCCAGTGTCTTCAATAACCTCCCTCTGATTATTCACTCTGTTGCAAAATATTCATATAATGTCTGAGCAGTTCCACTGCTGGCACACTTCAGACGGAACGACAGGCTGGAGTGGGATCTGTTCCTGCTGTTTAAGACGCTCTATGCCTTGAAGAATTTCCTGGGCCACCCAGTCCCCCTCTGACCTATTTTTGGTTCTGGCAAATCGGGTGTTGACTTTATCTTTGTCACATCTTATTCCCCAGCTCCATAATTCTGTAGAATCTTTTCTCTTCCAAATGTAATTGCTCTCCATCCTTTTTTTCCTGCTGTCTAGAACCATAGCTCATCAGCCTATATGTCTCATTATCTTAGTTAAGCTAGGGCAAATCAAGGACCTGTTTTATAACCTGACATCACCCTGCACAATTTTTGTATCTCAGTTGTATGGAGCCAAAGAGTGGTACTTAATTGGCACCTTGGTTCCCAATAGTTTTAATGGCAGATTTGCCTGAGAAAGGACTGAGTTCACGATGTAGTAAGATTCAGGACTTGTCCCATGGTATCAGATAAGGCCAGTTTCTTCCACAGCAGCCCAGTTCACTCATGTTCTCTCTGGGATTCCTGTATGGACATGTTGGGTAATTATGGGACTATATTGCAAACCTCTGGATCTGCTTTCTAATCTGCTCATCACTCATTACTCAGTTATCAATTGTTTTATTGGCTTTAAACGCATACATGCTTCCAAAGCTATCTGGCAAGTTGGCCATAATGACTAGAAATGTGCAATGCCTTCAAGCTGACAGGTTCTCTCCAATGAATACCACACAGTTGTAGGTGGAATAGATGTCTGGCTCCAATATTTCCAGACAGATGTTTTGAAGAGTTTCCATTCATGAGGTTTGGGAAGCTCCAGGAGGCAGCTTACATATTGCCCCCAGAAGCAGGCCCTGGAAACAAGGAGAATGGTCCACGAAACCAATACTCAAAGCCTTAGTTCTCAAGATGATAAGCATCCTTAACCTCCCTTTGGCGCCACACCCTTGAAAGGCCATTAACCCTATACCACTTCAAATCATTGTCAATGAACTGATTAAACACTTGTCACACTTTGGAAAGCAGGGATGACAGGAATCATATAGCACAAAAATAATGTCACCCTTGTTTTTTTTTCCTGGAAACAAACATTTTAAGAGACTTGCCTGAGGCCACAATAGCAAATCAGGGAGTAGAACAAAGAGATTTCTGACTCCCAGTTCTTGATCAGTCCACACTCTCTCACATATTCAGTACAGATCTGCTGTAGGGTATAGATGTAACAGCATTGCTTATGAGTAAAAGATGAACAATAGATGTTGTAGATTTCGGTATTAGATTCTGCTGCTCACAAACAGGGAAGAATTGGTGGGCAATGTAGTAGTGGATGACAACTTGAGCAGCAGTGACCACAAGATGATTGAGTTCAAGATCCTGAGGAGAGGAAGGATGGAGAGGAGCTGAGTAAAGACCCTGGACTTCAGAAAAGTAGACTTTGTCTTGATCGGGAAACTCATTGGCAAGATCCCCTAGGAAGCCAGTTTGAGGAGGAGAGGAGTCTAGGAGAACTGGCTGTACTTTAAAGAAGCCTTACTGAGAGTGCAGGGACAAACCAGCTCGGTGTGCATGAAGACTAGCAAGTATGGCAGAAGACTGGCTTGGCTTAGCAGGAAACTCTTCAATTAGATAAATCACAACAAGGAAGCTTATAAGAAGTGGAAGCTTGGACAAACAACTAGGGAGAAGTATAAGAGTATTGCTTGGGCATTCAGGGATGAAGTCAGGAAGGCCAAAGTGCAATTGGAGTTGCATCTAGCGAGGGATGTGAAGGGTAACAAGAAGGGTTTCTACAAGTATGTCAGTAACAAGAGGAGGATCAGGGAAAGTGTGGGTCCCTTACTGAATG